ATTTGACTGAAGGGTGGAAAGATTAACAAAAAATTACCAAGAAAAAAAAGCATATGCCAATACATATATGTATAATTTTTGTAAGCCGGTTAGTTAGAATTTCGCGAAATGTTATTTTTAAAGGTGCTCCGATTAAGTACCTCCCCGATTTTTATTTTTTATTTTTTCAATATCGAATTACTCTCCAGTTGCTATATTAAAACGGTGGATGGCTATTTGATAGACATCTATTCAACTTGTTTTCATAACTTATGATCATGTATGCAGGTCCTTAAATCCACTATTTATCTAGAGTTTATGTTCGCTAAACTTTTTCGATATGGCAAATTTGATGCAGTTCAACAGAGCTCATTTAACCGAACCGAACTACATCAAAATTGTCATATCGAAAAAATGCTGACTTTTGCTCCCATTTGTAATTAACCGATTAAATTTGTAAGTGAATAAGTGTTTAAGGTGCGAGTTTGTTAGTGAATTTTAGTAACAAATTAATACTTTAAGACATTTGTTATTGTTTATATATAAGGATGTATTCATATTCAATTTACACCTACATACGTACACCAACACACTTCTTTTCACACACAGCCAAAAAACGATGCGGAAAAAGAGGATATCGATTATGCCACAATAGGTCGGTATGCTGTAATGGGCACAACCGTTTACGCGCCAACACTCTACACATGGTTTGTTTATTCCTTTATTTTTGTATAAGGGGTGTTCACAAAACCAATTAGTAACTTAGCAAAATGCTTTGCAGTACTGAATAATAAAAAAAATTATCATTTCTATAACAGACGAAAGTTTGTGGATACCCCTAACATTTAATCATTTCTTTATTTACATTAAGCGCTTTGAGTTTTTTTTAACTTTATGCTTGTTTCTCATTACACTTACGCAATTTTACGGCCTCTTGCACCCAATTGTGTGTTTGCTCGCCTTGATTTTGAAATTTTCCATTTACATTGCCCTTTTATTGGCTTTAATTAAAATAAATTTTGCACTTGAGCATTGTACTGGGCACGGTGTGGCGCACAAATAAAATAATCATAAATTTCACTCATCACTGAGTGCGTTATGTCTGCACCATTGTTGTTATCATTTGTTATTTCCCTGCGCTTGCTCTCTCTTTTTTCTTATCACTCACTAGTGTTTTTGCTCACAAAACTTCATACATGCTTACGTTTAAATATACAACAACTGAGTATCCAATAACTTTACTATCAATGTTTTGTCTTATCATGGTGATTTTGTTAGTGGCCGCTCGTCGCTGCCCATACATACATACATACATACTCCCCATTCAGAGAAGTGCACGTGTCATTTGTTTATTGTAAAATCGTATAAAAAGTGGGTATCTGTGCGCTTGAGCAAACTCTCTCTTTGGCTACTTAAATAAACACTTGACTATTTTTCTCTCTTTGTAGTTAATACCGGTATTAATAAACTGCTTAAGCTTTGCAACAATCACCAATGAATTTGCTTTGCCGGTTACAGTAAAAGCTTCCGAAACAAAATTCGAGCTTTATTACATCCAACTTTTACAGGCTGCGAAAAGTTCATTTTAGCATTTGTAACAACAAAATTTCGCGTAAAATGCAAAAATATTCCGGAAAATTTTTTCCATTAGTCACTGTACATTTAAAATCTTCTTGATTTTTAGGGCAAATTGAAGTAAAGCTGCCTATTTTGTGGCGACAGTTTGATAAGCCTTTACATTTTAGATTGAAAATATTTGCAGCCCCGGCTGCTGTTCCGACTGGACTAAGTTTAGGGATGCACTTTTGGGGTATCTGCTCAATAAAGCTTCTCTCAGTAAGCTAGGCTTCTGGTTTCTCTCGGTAAGTTTAGCTCATGGGAACGAATTGAGGAAGCCGTTGATTGCGTTACCGATGCCTGTAATGCGGGCCTCTCCGTTTCCTCCCCGATTGTGCTTCCGAAAGGAAAAATGAAGAAACATCAGTGGACCAAGGAAATAGGGAAGACTAGTATGTTTTCTGTGTGTATAAAAGAAAAAATATTTATTAGTGCGAAAAGGTGGGTAGGCGCTGTGGCCAATGGTAAAGTCCGTTTACCACCTTTGCATGATTGTAAGTGATGCAGAGTCTTCAAAAAACTCCACAACTGTGTCGAGAGGATGGATCAGACTAGGCCGAGCCATAAAAATAAAACTTAAGAAAGTTTTATTACATGGAAGTAGAGAAGTGCATGTGCAAAAATTTCATAAATTGCATAACGGAAATGTTTGCCCGTGCAGGAGGAGAGTACATAGCATGAATTTAGACGCCCAGTGTTAGCAGTCGCGCCTAAACACTTGTGGAAGCAGAAACAGCGCCGGGCTGTACCGAAGCCGAGATGGCCTGGCACTGCGACCTAACGAGTGGAAAGGGGAAAATGTCCGTCCGCCACGGTGGCGCCCCATGCCATAATTAAGGTAACCATTGGTAGGTTACTTACTGCGGTGACCCGGTGTCAGGGAGGCACCGCAGAAATACAATCCGTTCCGATGACATCCAATAGGCATAGTCCGCTTAACAGCCTGGATTGAGGGAAACCTCCCTACCGTGATCAAATGGAATTGCGATGGGCTGTGCTATTGATGAGCAGCGAGCCTTCTCGCGATTCTCCCAGATCTTACCTGGATATCGTTCTGATAACGCACAGAATATACTGGAGTATCGATTGCCAGTCGACACCCTCGGGGCGGGTTTCAGTGGAACGAAATTTTTTCGCCAACCAATTTGGGGGCTACCTCGTTCAGAATTCTGCTGTACTGTCGTCCTAGCAGTCCACCAGGAGCATTCCTAGTCTAAAGTACGCACCTAAGAACACAAGCAGACACGCGCACACTTTGTAGACCTGATACATTATGAAATCCAGTGTCTCCGCATAACAGTTTTAAAGCGGCACCACCCTCGGATGCCCCTTAGAGTGTCCGAATAAATTTGATGCTGTCGATCCCCTCCTGAAGGGCCACTTACACATTCGTTGCGGTATATTTTTTACACCCAATAATTCAACCCTCCCTATGGTTCATAGAAATAATTCCAAATTTTCAAACTCGTCCTCACTTAGCCTCTAAGTCAGCGTGTAGTCTATTTTTAGTTTCATTCCGGGTGAATCAGTTTCTTTTGCATACATTTCGGTAATTTTCTGTTTACTTACATTTTTTTTTATAGTTACCTTTGGTTTTGCATTTTTACTTTTTAATTAATAACAATAACTTTTGGTAATCACATTAAAAGCACAACACACATGCACTTTACTAAAGCACAATGCCCCTGCTGGATTCGAGTCTTTGGTAGCTCCACATAAGAAAAAGTTTTTAGTGTAGGCTTTATATATATATTTTCTATTCCGCACATCTGAATGTCTATGCACTGCGTCGCATAAATACGCCTCAATGAATATGTTTACATACATATACACTCTAACATATTTATTTGCTAAAATAGATTAATTGAAAATTTTACTTTCTTAACGAACACGAAATTAGGTACAAATGGTTGGATAGAACGTTTCCAGGAACTGCTAAGCCTATAATCGTGAAGAAGCTGGTCTTGGATCAATTTGTGTTGACACCATACTTGTTAACTGTCTTCTACACAGGTTAGAAGTAAATGCTAATTTAGAATCATAATAAGCAATATACTTTTTTAATTGTAATTATAAATAATTATTTTAGTAAAAGATCTGACTTTCACTTTGTGAATTTCTAGGCATGTCGCTTATGGAACGCGCACAGGATCCCTTCAAGGAGTTGCGCGAGAAGTTCGTTCCCACATTTTTACGTTCCTGTATCTTCTGGCTGCCGGTACAAACATTAAATTTTATTTTAATTGCGCCGAGATTTCGCGTGATTTACATGGGCGTTTGCGGTTTCATTTGGGTGAATATACTGTGCTGGATTAAGAGGCAGCGAAATGAGTTGCAGTCGGAGAGTGAGGTGAAAGTGGCGGCTCAGTAAATGCACGAAATAAGAACTTAGCCGAATTTAAAAATAACCTTTTTGTTTTTTTAAGCGCGTAGTTAGTTAGAAAACGCATTGCACGGCGATTTGAGTTTATATACATATATACTAGAAAGCCAAAAGAAGGCTTTGTATGCTTACATTTCCGAAAGTGAAAATAAGTATCGAAGTAGAGCTTTAATTTTTAAGTTAATACACATCGGAAGAGGGTAAAACACAATGAGCAGCTGAAATAAAAATTTTCTAAAATCTAAAGTTTCCCAAATTTTCTAAAAAGTCGTTCTAGTTCTGAACTTTTTCTTCCATGTGATTGTGTTTTTGCGTTTCGCTCCCGGAGAAAAGAAGTGGTCTCAGAGAAAAAAAAGTTCTGAACTATAACGATGAATCCTCCTTAATGGGTCTGAAAGGGAAATCTGATTAAGACTTGCAACTGAGCAACGATTTTGAACTGTTCCTTTCCAGCATATCGTAAAGCCGCTGAAATGGGCTGCTTTCTGTTATTTTGATGGACTCAAGCAGACTCGTCAAATTATTGTTGAAAAGATATTTATGCTTTTTTATGATTTATCAATCAATATACATTTTTATTCCATATTAGAATGTGCATTCAAAGTCAGATACTCTTGAAAAACCCTTATTCCAAG